AGTCCGCGTCTAGCAGGTTTACGGGAGCTAAGTGACAGGAAATCCGCAATGCATTCGGGTTAACAGAGTTAACCTTTGCTACTTAGGGTCTCCAAATTTCGAGCGCAGATAATAAAGGGATAAAGCCATGAATATCCACGCGTGCAGGAAGTATGCACAATGTTGATCCATTGGTTCATCGCGGTTAAGGCAGGCATCTAACGCGTCCTGAGAAAGATAAGCAATGTGCTGCCAAGCCTCGTCAAAAGCTCGCATTGATCCGCAATCCGAACGCACTTACTGGCAAGGAAAGCCCAGTAGAGTCCTTTCATCGAAGTCGTTAATTTTTAGCGCGGGCCGAGAACTCAGAGGCTGCGCCTCCGCCTTCGCGCTTTCGGGGCCGGCTTCCGCAAAGCTTAAATGCCCGCTATGCGCGGCCCCAGGCGTTCCGCAAGCGCGCATTGCCAGCATACGCGAGAGGTGGTTGGACGGGATGATCATTAACTGCAGCAACAGCACCGGGATGTCGCCGGAACCGAGGACGCTGATGAGAAGAGCCAGGGCGCGACTGGCTAGACGCCCAGATCTTGCGGATGCCGCCGGCCTCGCGCCGCCGCGTGAGGGCTGCGGACGGCCGCGAAGAGCAGGGGCATGCCCCATCACGGAATACATGGTTGGTTCCGTTGAGGTGAAAAGCAGCTAGGAGCGGTGATGAGGAGCGGCGATGAAGTTGGAAGTATATGTTTTGTGGCGGCAGAAATGCCGGCGTCTTGAGCATCTCGTCCAAGACCGGAATACGTAAGGGATTGTTGCCCACAACCTTGGCGCACGTGACATGGCTCGTGAGGGGTCCATAACGGCGGAGCAGATACGCACGTTGCAATGCAGATGCGTAGTATTGTCGTGGCACCAAGTACGCAGCTGAGCACAGGCAGCTTGCCCGTTGTAACCTGCTGATTTATCGATAATTCCGATCGAAAGGGCGCAATGGCGCCAAAGCTGTACGAGCGACATGTAATGGAGTGAATGTGACGTAGTGTAACAGGATGTGCATTGTGCTCGATGCCCAGCGTTTATTATTGACGAACTATGGGAAATGCAGCAGACCCACGGGTCACAGACAGACGCAGCCCACGGCAGACGCCACCAGCCCCTTCTTTTCGGCATGCCACAGGCCACACAACTGTTGTTTCAGCTGGCTAAATAAGGCACATTGCCCCGGGCTTTGTGAAACAAAGGATGCGTTTCAGTGCTATCCTCTCCTGCCATACGCAGACGAAGATCTCAACGGGTCTGGGGGGGGACGCATGAAGCGAGAAAGCGCTGTTCCCGAGAAAAGTCCTTATAACTGTTCCTCGAGACAGGCTCAGGGTGTTATATTTCGACAAATTGAAGGTATCGCGGATCAGAGCAAGGCGTACGCAAGCAACGGCGGATGGATGCTGGTAAAGTAGTTCACAAAGCTTACAGAAACGTTTACACAAAACGAGGGTCTCAACATCCGGACTGAGCGAGGCGGGAGGTACCCCAACACAACAACTCATGTAACAGACGCAACCTAAATGATGACCGCCCGATCCCCAGCATTGATGGAAGCAACGAAAGGCAGGATACTTCGCAGCAAACGTGCTCGTTCGTTTATCGAGACAAACACTCGCCCGATAGTGAAGCATGCATTATCGAATGACAGAAACATCAGGCCGGCCCTGTATCTTGAAGAAGCAGTGCAGCTCCCCGGTCGCTCTGAGCAGCAATCCAACCATGCGTTACCGTACACCACCGTTGCGAGCCTGGCTGCCGCAGCAGCAATTGCTCCAACGCGTTATTTTATTCATTTCCTTGTCTCCACGCAACTCCCAGACAAGTAGGGTAAAGTTTACTCGCAAAGCAAAGCAGCTGGCGCGCCTACATGCAACACGACCATGTCCTACTCGTCCGCAAATTTTCCGCTATGCCTCTCGTCATTTGCAGATTTCCTACACCACGCTGCTACTGCTACTGCTGCTAACGCTGTTACTCATGTCCAGATTGACACCCTTTTCATGGCCGACTCCGCACGATATACTCCCATTGCCATCGATGGAGCACGCCTATCGCAAGCGCCATCACAGCCCCACCCCCTTTTGAGGGCTGGTTTCTCTTTTAAACCTGTTTCATTTTTCACCCCGTTTCACCCGGGCAAGCGGCTCCTGCATCCCTGGTTCACATTGCCCACAGGCCCCCCGCGGCTGTAGATGATACTACTTCCATAGCACACGGCACGTACCAGCTCGAACAAACCATCAAGCAGCCAACGTGCTTCAATCCCTTTCCAGTAACTGCATTCCGCCACCGTCTCAGTATGCTGCGAGAGAGACGGGAATGAGACGATGTCTTATTCATGCCCGCTTCCGCTTTTTCCTGCAACCGAGAAGCAAGCTCCGGTGGCCCCTGGACCCTGACCCAGATTCGTACCCAGGATCCAATAACAGGTGGCTAAAATAGGGTACGAAACCTCTGCACTTGCACAAATCTAGGCAGGCGCAGGCGGCGCAAAAGCACATAAACACAAAATACACAGCTACCCCAATCAAGCGTCTACTACCAGCAGCGATGCAGCCTCCAGAAGTCCCTACAAACCGCATAGCGCAGGGCCCTTCCTCCTTTCAAGCGAGTGCTTCCACACTCGCAGGAAGCATCCTGCCGGGCAAAATCTTCTATCATGCAAGCTGTGCTTTACTTCAAAGGCAGGGCACGCTCCATGAGGATATTCTCGCCCCCTCAGGGCACAACCAACAAAATCACAAGCGGGCCTTTAACATGCACGCATCCGGCCAGCCAGTAAGCCCTTTACTGCAAAAGCACCTCCTAACAGTGCCATCCTGGCCTGCCTAAGCAATGCAGCAGCCATTATACGCTTCCAAGAGCTGGAGCAAGAGCAAAATACCAACCCCATTTCGACGTTGCATCAACAACGACGTGGGGCAGCCGCTATATGCCTCACTCGCCGTTTTCCTTTCCGCCCGTTCGTATTGCCCCCCAGACCAAGGCATCTCTCCAACCTCCAACCTCTTGTGATACATCGGACACACACACACACACGCCGCCGCTTGTACCCAACCCCCACACCCTTGCGGTAGGCTCAGCAGGGACCGCGGCTTGGCTGTGCGGGGAGTTCAGTGCTGTGACCGCCGGTCCTGGCCTCAATCGGACGTTTAGGATCTCCGCACGCACCTGCAGCACCAGCCTTCCCATGATGTCATTGATTGGAAAAATGGCAGTAAGCGTGTAACTCGTACGAGTACGTCCGGGAGTCTCCTTCCAAGGAGTAGGGTCCTCATGTCAACCATTGTGTTGGTTGGGGCTGTGGGCCAATGCCCAACAGCCCCTGTCTGAAACACCCGTAGCGAGGAAGGGTTTAACCGTGATGTCCTGCTAATCTCCTTCGAGCCTCCCACAGCTCAGCCCCAAGGATTTTGCACTCAAGCGCAAAACCATAAACCCAAATAAGAAGCGCACGAGACGCATGTGTTCAAATAACTGGCCGCGAGGTGTAATGAAGTCCTCCTAACGAAACGCCACAGGTGAAGTCCGTTGGCTATGGTGTCATAGAGCTATCGAGACGTATGTGCGTGCGCGACGACGCTCAAGCGTTAAATTCAAAGACTCGGGGCAAAGAGCCCCATAGCATTACCGGAAACCGCAGCCCCAGGCTGCAACGTCCCTGCTAATACCCTGCCATGAAAGCGAATAGGAAGGGATAACATACGCACAGAACTACTATTGAGTACATATAGCACTACAGCTACATACTCCGAATAGCTTTGTGGGAGGGGGACATGAGGAGTCACTTCTGGAACAGCACGCCTAATGAACAACGACCGGCCCGCGCATCCAAACCCGAACCGTAGCCCGCGCAGGCACGCGTGCAACATCGCACCACTCGCACCGACCTGTCATGGAGTGCAAATATCCAGATACATCCTAGCCATGTAATCAGAAGCGTTCGCTGATTTCGGAAGGCCCCCCGGCTAAGGCCGCAAACATTTATGCTCCAAACAGCTTGCAAGAAGCAACATGCCGGCACCGGGAAATGAACTCACGTATGAAAGAAGCAACAGCCCGCGCGCGTATAGATACCACACAATTGAGCAATCATCATTTTTAGCACCACAAGTCCCCAATCCCACAAATCCACAAATTCCCAAGCAATCCGCAAGCGGCGGCCGCATCGCTGCGCACGCAAATAGAACCAGTTAGAATCCAGGTAGAGCCCATGTCACCTTCTACCCGTAATGCCGCCCTTATTGTTAACAAGCACCACCACTCCGCAGTGCATGACCTGCAAAGCTTCTTCTCCTGAAGCAACATCGCCGCCGCCGACGGAAGAGACACGATCAGCAAGAGACCAGACACGGGTGATAACCGGCCGGTCTGCTGCGGGGCACAACAGACGCGTCTAGCCTGCCCCTGATGCGTAAAAACTGCCAAGAACCTTTTAATCATACGGACCTGCTGACGAGGAAAGGAAAAGCTCCGCTTGTTGAGTTTTTTTTTGTTTTTGACCCCCCCCAAACACACACACACACCGGACAAACCAAGGAACAAGCCAGCTTCCTGCCTCCTTCGGAAGAAGCACAGCCCCTCCTCAGCTTACAACCCCTTCCCTCCGAAATCACGAACCGCCCTTCCCCAGCACAACCCCAGCACCATCCCACCAAGCCATGCATGCATAACAATGGTCAGCACTTCCTCCCTCCCAATCCACACACACGCCCCACATTTCTTCTCACGAAAGCCATGCATTACCCCTACACGTCCATACCCTACGCCCCAACGCTACCAGCTCCCGCCGCTCCTCCAAGGCCACCAACAGCAGCAGCTGCACCCCCACCGCTCATCAGCCCGCCACCCACCGCAGCTCCTCCTCCCACCGCCGAACCTCCCCCTCCCACCACCGCCGCACCACCTGCACCCACGCCATTCCCTCCTGATCCTCCTCCACCCCCCGTTCCTCCCACCCCTCCACCTCCCATGCCCGCCCCCGCAAAGCAGCTCAGCAGCATGCCCGCATCATCCAGGCAATCCAACAACCGCCGTACGACGACCAGCTGATCTGCCGGCATGTACTGCGCAAGCAGATCCACCAAAAAAGCACGCGTGGCCACCTGACCGCGTCCTTGGAGGGCCTGACGCAGCCAATCACGAGCCTGGAAAGAGGCAACGGCACGGTGAGAGGCGACGCCGGCGTGGTTGAGTTGCAGCTGAAGTGAGGAAAGCAGCAACGTCTCGACCTCCGGGTCAATCCTCGCTGCTGCCGCTGCAGATGCGGCTGCAGAGCCAGCAGCAGCAGCAGCAGCGGGTGTTTGGAGGGAGCCACCGCCAGCAGCAGCAGCGGCGGCGGCGGCTGCAGCAGCGGCTTGGTGGGGGGAGGAGAGGTCTGTTGGCGAGGGGATGAGGAGGGTGGGAAGGGACGAGCTGGCAGGGCGGCGGAAGGCGAGTCGGCTGGCGGCGTCGGCGGAGGCGAACAGGGCCTGCATGGGTGCGGGGTTCAGGGGGGTGCGCGGGGTTAGGTCAGGTCAGGTTAGGTATTCCTACTTGACCGGCCTCGGCGCTGGCAAAAGCAAACCAAGCCCAAGCACCCTAAGCACCAAGCGAACTGCACCAGCCAACCAGTCAACCAGCCAACCAGCCCCTTACCTGCTGATTGCCGCCATCCCCACCCGCCTCATGACCCGATGATGCCGCCCCATTCATGAAGAGCTGCTGCTGCTGCTGCTGCTGTGACTGCTGCAAGTTCTGCTGCTGCTGCTCCTGGTACGGGTGGTGCGTTGCTGCAGCCCCCGACAGCTGCATGTGCTGCATCTGCATGCGCATCTGCTCGCCCCCAGGCAGCTGCGGGCCCAGCTGCTGCAGTTGCTGCTGGTGTGGCTGCTTTAGGAATGGCTGCGGCTGCTGCGGCAGCTGATGCGAGTGGGTGAACGGGTGGTGTGCCTGCTGGCCGAAGCCGGCGAGGGGCTCCACCTCCTGACCGCTGCTGCCGCTGGCGGAGAGGGGCATCCAGCTGGCCAGGCCACCTGAGAAGGGCAAGCCGCAGGGAAGGAAACATGTCAATTGAGTAAAAAGCAGCAAGTAGACACGCAGCATGCGCAGTTGAGGACAAAAGCCACAAAATGTCGCAAGCCTTAGTTCCCTTCGCTATTGTATTGCACAGAAGGAACGCTCAGAACCAGACTTGTAGGTACTCCCCACCTGACTGGGATGCCGCCTCTGCATCTTCGATTACCATATCCACAAGGTTCGCGGAGGAGTGTCCCAGCGCTGAGGAGGCGCCCGCCGCCCCACCGGCAGCAGCAGCCAAGGAAAAGTCCAAGGGGGCCGCTGCACCGTCAACCGACCCATGGGTCTGCACATGTACCCCAGCACCTGCAAGCTGCTGCTGCTGCGAGCAAACTCCTGAACCCGACCCGGGAAGGGATTGCTTCCAGTTCTGATGCTGCTGCTGCTGTGGCCCCTGTCCGAGCAGGGACTGCCTGCCTACTGGCTGAGATCCGGTTTGCTGCTGCTGCTGCTGCTGAGCAGGCATCGCCTGACCACCCCCCAGCCTGTGGACCCCATGCAGCTGCTGCAGCTGCTGGTGGTGATGCAGCTGCTGCAGGTGCTGCTGCAACTGCGGGGATCCCCCCAGCTTCAACGAAGCAGGCCTGCCATTCCCTGACCCCTGCTGCTGTCCCAGCAGTTCATTGTTACCGCTGCTCGGTCCGCTGCCGAGCCCGAGACCGTTGCCAAGACCTCGGCTGCTGCCTCCGCCACCCACGCTGCCTCCGCCAACATAGATCCCAAGTGACGCGAGCCCAGACAGCGACAGATGCTGCTGCTGGTGGCTGCTGGACCCAGCCGCGTACAGAGATGCAGCGGAGGAAGGCTCTGACGGCGGCAACACGCCGTCCATTCCGGATGCGCCCATGGAGCTTCCAGGCACGAGCAGCGTGCCGGAGAGTGAGGTGGAATGACCGCCCTGCAAGGCGCTGTTGCCGCCGCCGCCGCCAGCGACGGCCGCAGCCGAGCTGCCCTGCCCCCCAAGCATCATGCCTTCATCTCCGTAGCCTGCAAACACGCTGCTGCTGTTGTTAGAAGAGCAGCGGAACAGCGGGCCGGATGTGGAGAGGTGAGGGCGCAGGGGTTGCACGAGCGACATGCAGGCGTTGTTGTTCCCGTCAAAGGAGCCTGAACCCATGGCCTCGAGGTCAAAGGGGTTGGGTGCGGATCCCGGGTTGTGCAGACCGCCCAAGCTGGAGTGGCGTGTGGAGGGCGGCCCGGGAGGCGCCACACCCGAGCTGGAAACGGTGCCGTGTGGGCGCCGCTGCTGCTGCTGCTGCAGCGGTTGTTGCTGCTGTTGCTGCATGGAGAGTTGCTGCTGCAGCTGCTGCATTGAGTCCGGGGACAAGTTGTGGAGCGAGCCCCCAGGGTGCAGTTGTTGTTGCTGCTGCGGTTGCTGCAGTGGTCCGCCGCCACCACCCCCACCCCCAACTGCTGCTGCTCCCTGCATCGCCATCCGCTGCCACTCCACCCCTGCTGCCGCCGACCCCGGCCTCACCAACCCTCCCACCACCCCAGCAGCAGCAGTCGCATCCCCTGGCAAACCCTCGCCCGCGCTGCTAATACCCGTACCACACGCCAACTTCAACAACGAGGAAGACGAGTCCCCGCCGCCATCGTTAGCGCTACCCATCGAGCCCAAGGCCCCCGTCTGCTGCTGCTGTTGCGGGTCGCCGCCGGCTCCTGCTCCTGGGGCGCTGCCGCCGGGGCCGCCCTTCCAGGGCACTCTGAGCTCCTCCAGACTGTGAGCGAAGAAGCAGGAGGGCCGGGTGCACTGGCTGCCGTACGTGCACATCAGGGCCTTGTACCTGTAGGTTTGGCGGTTGAAGTAGTGAGGGCACAGGAGAAGGCGCGTGAGGGAGGTCGAGAGGAAGGAAAGGGCGTGGGAGGCCAGGAAGAGAGCCAGTGGCTGTAGAAGATAGGGTATGGGTTAGGGGTGAGTGAACAATGCAAGGTGTCAAGGTAACTCAGGCCCAGGTTGTCGATCTCTTTGCAGCGCTTCATGGGGTATGGAGTCTGTAACCCTAAGGCATGCGCGTAACTGTAACAGCCGTACAGCGTTTCCGGGGCCATGCCGTACGCCTCTTTCCAGTCTTATCAGCTCAACCCGCTTCGCACTCAGCATGTCGCACTCAGCATGTCAACCAAACCCTGCTCCCGATCACGTCGCCGCCTGAGCACCTCGCCGCGCACCTTTGCGGGTGCAGCCACTGTTCAAACACGTTGTGAGCGTAGCCGCAAGCGTCGCCGGCCGGACATCCCGTTTTCTGGATGAAGACAGTCAGGCAAGGGATGGGGCAGGTAGGGAGGGAGTAAGCGGGAAACGGGGGTAATTCAAGCCACTTGAGAGCTGAATTAAAGCCGTTGCAGCAGGCCTAAGGGCTGTCCATGGAATTGTGGTTGGAAACATGGTGTCCCCAGAGGGTTTTTGGACGAGCGATGATGGGAAAGGGAAGCGCACGAGGAAACCAATAATCAGTTCGAATAAACAGACATGCCGTGCGCTATGTGTCTTGAGTGCTTGGTTCTTCACCCGCAAAGCACAAACACATGGCAGGAGGCCCCTTCCTTAGGTGGGGCGAGCACGTCGCGTGGGCTGTACAAGGGTGTTACTCACCGATTTTACATTGGGACAAAGGACTGGTTGATAGTTAAACAGCGTTGGATCTCTGCGACGAGCTGTTTCGCCCGGATGTGCGCACGGGCAACTTGACCACGAGTGCGCATAGCTCTTCGTGCACGGCACGACCTACATGGCGCACAGGGCATGGCGCCGGTGGGGCCGGTTCAGATACAGTGCCGCAGTATGGCGATCAGGTTAACGACGTCGAGTTGGATAAGGGATGAAGAGGATTCCGTCGGCGCGTGTACTGGGCCCTCCAAGTGCATCACGGCGGCACAGAACACTCGTTCCTAGAAAGAGAGACGATCGATCATACCTTAAAGCTAAACATCCAGAACTCATCGCTGTAATTGCCTTTATGCTTCAGGCAGTGCGCCATCGGGAGCGGTTGCCCACCGAAAGTCTTCCTACAAACCCCGATAGATAGAAACAAAGAGCTTTCGTCAGATATGAAGGTACCCAACGTTTGCCATTAGAGACATGCGAAGCCAAGCGCCGCAGGGCGAAGTCCCACAGAAAACGACATCGACACCCGGGCCTGGGATTTGTGTGCGCTTCAGCTGAGAAGCATGCTGCAATGCCGTTATACACTTGCCTGTAACTTAGAGGTCCCCAACAATGCAAGCACGCGCCTTCGTGCCTTTCAAGCTCAATGCGCAAGAACAAAAATTCATGAGAACTAAAAGTTCTCGCACGTATGCATCAGTAAGGGCAGCGTGCGGGATATTTCGCAGTGTTGTTCGTTATCTGTAAAAATTACTTCCGCTCAACCAGGCAACATAAAGTGTTCGTCCCTAATGAGTGTATACCCTACACAAGAAGGAATACACTATCCAATGAATTTGACTTGCTTAAGGTATAAGCGAGGCGGAGCGGAGCGGCGGAGTGCAGCAGGCGCCAGCGTCTGTACGGAGATAGCCATGACCAACTATCGCGCAAGGGGCTACACATTAGGGGCACTTGTCAGCATTGCATCTTGTCTACCATATACGTATGTAGATGGGTGAACGGCTTTCAATAAGCTTAATCGCAATGTCGTGAGCCTTAACAAGCATGAAGTGCCTCCTATCTGCAATGACGGTTTCCATGGCTTGGCAAGGGCCGCAGACATACCGGTTAAGCATTCATGACAGTATTGCAAGCCGTAGCAGAGATCTACCTGGCTGCGATGTTTGGCAGCTTGAAGCAGTTCTTACCAGTAACCACTGCTTCCTTCATACCGCTTGCTTAGCCCAAGAACACCTTACCTGGCCCTTAACTGGTAACCGTCTACCCATGGACGAGTAACAACCTATCTACACTCTACCGGTATGAATAAACAACAGGCCCTTCCCGAGCTGTGTAGTGCAGCACCTTTACAACCCCCGTGAAAGAGACGAACGTTGAGCTCCTAGACTATATATGCAGACGGAATTGACGCGTCAGGTTTCGCAGCTCTTCCTACCTAACGGAGAAGCGGGGTGCTTCTTCTATCCTGTGTGGCATCACCCATATAAACTATCCCTGATCACGCATGTTCGGCAACTTCAGCCTGCAACGCTTAGCAGAGCAAGCCGACGGAGGGGGCGCCATCCATCCCCATCGACATGGGTACCGGTTGTGAATTTCGGATTAACGCATGTTTTAAATGTGAATACTTGGAAAAATGCCACAACAACTTTAAACTGCTCCCTTGCTGGGACACGGGTACTACTGGGATAGAGCGATGGAGCAAGTGCGAACTGCGAAGCATGGCGAGCACGCTTCAACGTTCTTCGTCAATTTTAGGCTTCACTATAAATGCAAGCATGAACATGTTAGGACCGGTGCTATTGCTTTTACCTGCTCCTGGCCCAGGGGTCGTTCTCACATCCGAGGTTTGACGTCTCTGTTACTACGCATCCGCCCAAGCACTCACCTCAGCAACCTCACACATGGCAGTTTAGTTCACATCTACACTAGTTCACAGCCTTTCTTTACGGTCCTAGAGCAGAAACATGCGGAGACACGTCTCCGCTACGTCTTGAGACGCTGTCTACGTACGGGCTGTCGTAAGCACTGACGTCTACTGCGGCGCCGACCGGTCTTACCTGGACCTTTTTTCTTGTCAGTTAGCCTAACTATGCAACCAGCTTGCTATTTGAAAGGGAGTGCGAGTTGCCTCTGTTCCTTGTGGATTTCAAGCGTAACACAGCGTGTTCGCACGCCAGTGAGAAGCCTACGCAAGTACTACCTTGTCTCCAGAGATTCTACGCATCCTTTTAGCAGCAACACCAACAGCAACTAGGACCGTAGATTCCTTTTAATACGCCGAGAGCCTAGTCGCTACGTCGAAGCCTCGTCAGCAAGCAAAAGCCCAAGGCACTTGTTTGTCTTCAGCCGGATTCCAGCCTTGCAAGCCTCACATCCAACGCCCAACAGGCTTTCATCAACAGCCAAACCAGCAGCTACACAGGCAGCTAAACCGCCAGCCAAGCCAAGCCTCGAGCTCTTAACAACGTACGCTCCAAAAGCGCCACGACGAATGGTCCACGAGGCAGGTACGTGCATCACAACAGGGCGTCATCATACATGTCATCAGAAACACTGTTTGATAGCTTCGGTACGCCTTCGGTACCCCAGCAGCGCGTTTGAACAACAACCCCTCCATGCATACCTCCCTGCTGCACACATACCTGTTTTCACCTACACAGCAGGCCCAATAACAACACAAGGCCCTCCGTTCCGAGCCCCGACCGGTGCTGCCAGCTTGGGCAACCCCAACAGCAGCAGCCGCAGCAACAGCCCCGGTCCAAGCACCACCACCTGCAGCGACTTTAATAACATGGGCCCCGAAACCACCTCCACCGCACATACCACGTGTCCCAAACCTAGTTGTGGCCCTGGTGGGGATACGGGTGGCAGCAGCAGCGACGGTGCAGCAAATGTCAACAGCACTCTGGCTACCCGCACCCGCACCCGCACCAGCACCAGCAGCGGTAGCGGCACCGTCCTCAGTAGCGGCCCCAATGGTTGCCAGCAGCAGGGTTTGCAACAAGGCTTGCAGCCAGGGCAGCAGGATCACGACAGGGACCAGGAGAGCTTGAAACCCATGTTCCATGTGATGCCCCGAAGCGGCTGGGGATCCGACCCCAATGGGCTCATCTTCTACCGAGGAAGGTACCACCTGTGAGTGCCGATATGCGGGGTGCGATGCGTCCTGTTGAGGGGGCCGTGTGTTAAGAATATTGGCTGCGGATGTGTTGCCTGCAAGCTATTGACGCACCACCGCCACATGTGTAGGACAACCCGCCAGAATCCAGGCTGCACTTGAGCCCACCCCATCCCATGCAACTTACCGCTACTCCGCCCTCCCGCCTTCCCGCCTTGCTTCCTGCCCTTGCCCTGCCGCCATCCCACCTCCATCCCTCCGCCTCCCGCCGGCCTCTGCCGCCCGCCCGGCCCCGCCTGCCTCCCAAGCCGTGCGCAGCTTCTACCAGGCCCGCCCCGGCACCTGTCAGTGGAACTGGGGGGTGGGCTGGGAGCACGTCGTATCACCCGATCTGGCGCACTGGCAGCGACTGCCGCCCGCCATATTCCCCACGCCGGGAGGGGCGGACGCGGATGGGTGCTTCTCGGGATCCATCACGGTGAGGAGGAGGAGGAGGAGGAGGAGGAGGCTAGATGGCTTGGCACGGCAGGGTAGCTTCCCCCTCATTTTGCCTGAAACGTCATGCGGTCCTTCCTCATGTCTTGCTTTCCTTCTTTCCACCTTACCACTTCACTCCACTCCACTTCCACCTCCTCTTCCTTTACTGACGTCTCCACCCCGCTTCCTCCTCCTCGCCCTGCTCCAACCCCCCTCCACCGCCAGGTGGATCCCCGCTCCGGCGTGCCCGTGTGTTTCTACACGGCAGCCCGGCGCCGTGACAACCCCGAGGTGCCCTTGCCGCACCCGCCGGCCTCACACGACATGGGGCTGGGGCACTTCGAGACGCAGTGCTGCGCCGTGTGCGATCCGGGTGGGTGGGGGCGTGGGGGTGTGGGAGCGTGGGAGCGTGGGGGTGTGGGAGCGTGGGCAGGGTGAGTTACGTCGTGGGTGGGTGCGATGCGCGTGGGCAGGTGTGAGGTGCGGCTTGGGAGTAATGGAATTGCGGGCTGGCATGGGGCGGGAGAGGTGGGAGGCTGTGGGACGGGTCGTGCGTGCATTGTGAATGGCATGCTTTACATGTTTACCCACATGACGGCGTCCGATCGGGCCCTGTATGCCGCATGCCCCTCCCCAATTCCACCCTCCCTGCTCCCTTTACGGCAACCTGTTACTACTCTGCCTCCTCCCTCTTGTCCCTGTCCCCATTAAGCCCCTCCCCTTCTCCCCTCCCTCCCTCCCTCCATGTTGACGCCTTATCCCTCAGTCAGTTAGTTGTTTCCTCTTTTCCCTCCCTCCCAGACGACGACCTGCTGGTGCGCTGGCGCAAGGTGCCCATGCCACTCATGGAGCTGCCGCACACGGGGCAGCTGCAGGCGTGGCGCGACCCATGGGTCGTCGAACGCGGCGATGCACCACCGGGCGGTGGCGACTCAACTGGACGCCATGCTGTTGGGGACAGCTGCGGGGCCGCGGGAGACGGCGGCGGCGGCGGCCGCAAGAGCGGAGGTGGTGATGGAGTTCGCAGTGAGGGAGGAAGCGGTGGTGGGCGGGCGCATGGGGAATGGACGATGCTGATCGGCAGCGGTTACAAGGAGGCCGGTGGTACGGCGCTCGTGTACCGCTCGCAGGACATCTCCCGAGGTGGGGTAGTATCAAAGAGATGGAAAAGGGCCCTGAAGAGGGAGTTAATAAGGCAAAAAGATAATGGTAAAAGGTCCTGCTGAGATTTGAACTCAGGTTAGCAGATTCAGAGTCTGCTGTCCTAACCACTAGACCACAGGACCAACTGGCTATGACGAAGAGGGGAACATGCAATTTTATAATGACCACAACACGTACGACCTTATTCCTGTGCCTAAGACCAGTTGTAGTGCGAGAATATTCGCAATGAGGTGGGGCGTGGTGCTGTGGTTGGTGTGCTTGCTGGTGAGGCTGGGGTCTAGGAGGCTGGGTTTGAGGAGACTGGGAACCGTGTTGGTGGGATTGGGGGATTGGGATTGAGAGCACGAGCACAACGCGCTCTTGCCACCGCTGCCGCCGCCAGGCATGTACGTCACAGCGTTCGTACCGCGGAGCCGCAGCCATTTTCACCAGTGGCCTCCGTCGACACTTCATCTTTACCTCCCTCACGTTTCTCACCCTTCCCTTGTCCCTAATCGTCCCTACTCGCCCCTACCTCGCCCCTTTACTCGCACCCACTTCGCCCCTTTACTCACCCCTACCTTCCTACCAGGCTGGCGCTTCGCAGGCGACCTGTGCAGCTGGCCCGATCGGCGCATGGGAGTGGTGTGGGAGTGCCCCTTCCTGGTGCAGTTGCAGCCGCTGCCGCTGTGCGCGCATGTGCTGCCAACCACTGACCTGGCGGCGGCAGCGGCGGCGGAGGCGGAGGCATGGCCAACGAAGGCGGCGGCGGCTTCTGAGGTGCTGGCGGAGGCGGCGGAGGCGACGGCACAGGTGGAGGCGGCGGAGCCGGTGGTGACAGCGGAGCACTGCCTTCATGGTGCGAACGAGGTGGTAACAGCTCCGCCGTCGGCGGCGGCAGTGACGGAGGTGGAGGTGACGGAGGCGGCTGAGGTTCAGCCGGAGGTGGAGGTGGATGCATCGTCACTGCAGGTGATGGAGGCGGCGCATACGGAGGAGCAGGGGGCTGCAGTCCAAGCAGACGCATCCAAGGAGACGCATCCAAGCCCTGCAGAGGAGCGGCTGGGTTCCCGCCATCAGGTGCCGCTGGCAGCACT